ATGAACATTAATGGAGTTAAAAAAAAAGATAAAAAGAAATAAATATTAATTCATGCAACAACATTTTAGTTTGAAGCAAAAAAGACGAGCTGTCAGAAATCAGAGCTTGAAAGTGAGGCCGCGGGAAGATCTTAGATTAGAAACAAAGAGAAGAGCACATAAAGGAAGAAAATGTACACCCACACCCTTACAAAATCTGGTGCATGTGTGTGTGTGTGTGTGTGTGTGTGTGTTTGGACAAACACACTGCTCTGCCCATTCACATGGAGAGCTAGAATGTGTGACGTGAGTGTGACAGTAAGCCTTGGGCACACAACAGTCTGAATGCAGCACTTGCCACCACGATGCCAGTCCTCTCTAGAGTATCTGAGAAAAGCCTACGTGTTGGAAAAACATTCCAGAGGGGGATCACATTTACACAGTTGGGGCCAGCAACCACACTGCGAGCCAGCAGCAGCGGCCATGTCTCAATTTCTCATGCACGTTCAAGCAGGCTGCCTGAAGAAACGAGTGTGGGCTATTTCTACGACTGAAGATGCAAAACAAACAGATCTCAGGCATCATCCGAAATACTGCAATAAATTAGGACCCACAGCACTTTGACTCATTTGAGCAAAGCAGCGTGTGAATATTATCTCCTTCCTGATGTAACCATGTAATCTGGTGCAACAAAATTGAAAACATTTGCTGACTATGAGAATTTGTCCTCCAGCCACTTCCAGAAGGCTATTTCAATAATTCACAGATTTAGCCAAAATCTAATTTGTAAATTGCATTCAATGGTTTGTGGTTGCCCTGCTTTTTGTTATGAAGAGTTGTCATGCTGTGAAAATAAACCTGAAGGCCCGAGGATCGGGAGCCAATAATGAGAAATCACTGCGCTGCTGAGGCGAGGCAAGGCGAGGGTTTTCTCTCAATACCTTCGCTGATCAGCGTTCCCGATTGACTGACGTGTCCCACTGGCTGCCTAACAGCCAGCTTTAGGAGATGAGGTTAAATTGTGGCTACCAACAAATTGCATGCTTGAGTTCCTCTGCACCCCTCTGCTATCATCCAGTGTAATGTGAGCACACCAGGCAGATCCTCCTCCTTCACTGCACAACAGCTCCCCCTCTAAAGCGGTGATGGGCATCGAGCCCCTGTGCATGCACACAGAGTCCTGCACATCCTAAATTCACCCTGCACACTCATATCATCACAAAACCATGCAAATAATCAAACATTCATCAGTAAAATAAGCTACTTTTGGTAACCAGGAGGAGAAAACGGGACTCAGGATGTTACGGTGCTAAAAATCTCACTCCAGTGAGTCTTTTAATGGTTCTTAATGTATTTCGAAGTTGAGGAGGGGGATAGTTAGCAAACCATGAGATGACAGATGATGCATCCTAGTCTGCAGCTGGGACAGGCCGAGCCATGTTGACATAAAACCAGATACTTCCTTACAAAGGAACGGGGCCAGCTCCAGCTAGCTCCTCGCCGAGCGGCAGAAATCCCAGCGAGCAGAAGCATTTGTGTTTCTAACATTAGACTCTTCTCTGTGCAGAGGGCTTCATTTATTTACCCAAAGGGGTTCGAGATGACCTTCATAAAAGACATTTTTAGGGAGATATTAGGATTTTTTTTAAAAAGGTGCAGCTGAACGTAAGAAAATGTTGCACACAGGACACCAAACTTGTCACCAGAGCTACATCCGGAATATTTATAGCAAAACTCCTCATCAAGAGTTCACACCGCCAGCTACATCCTGGTGTTATTGCTCTTCTCTTATTCTTAGTCTGCACACTAGTGTTCACAAGGCAATGCAGGAGTGTCCTAGAGTGAGTCAAACACACACACACTGGGAAAGTCAGCCGTCAGCATCTATCCGGCACACACTACTGCAGCGTCCCAAGCACAGCTAATTAAAAAACAACAATTTCACAGGAGGGTACTCCAAACAGTTCTGAAAAGCAGCTCTCAGCACACCAGGGGATCTTGCAGAAAACAAGGGAGGTGAGACAGGTTCTGGGAGCTCTGCTTTTATGGCTTCATCACCGTGTGTGTGTGTGTGTGTGTGTGTGTGTGTGTGTGTGTGTGTGTGTGTGTGTGTGTGTGTGTGTGTGTTTTACTGCTCACTGTGACCTCAATTTAAAATTTGCACACAGCTTTGATGATTCTAAGAAGAAAAAAAAACAGATTATCTTTTTGGAGTATTTTTCAGATGAGACAATCTGCAGAAGCTTTAGAAAATCTTTCTGAAATGAAAAGTGAAAGTAGAAACCTCCACGCTAGAATGCAGTGGTGGGACACGGGGGCGGGTAGTGTAGCTTAAACTATAGTTAGTAAAAGTTACATTTTGTAGCTGGCGCCCGTGGCTGTTTCTAACAAGGCAGTCCATTACAGGGGTGCTGTCCAACACCTCGGTGGACTGATAGGCCTTATTACACAGCTCCCTTCAAAGCATCTGCTTGGATGGAGGAAAAGTCCCTGTGGGGAAAAGGTCTCCCTCTTTCTAATGATGTATAATTGACCTCTAAACACCAGGGCATAACAAACTCTCCCGGAATGGTGTAATTCCACTCTACCTTCTGCATACCGCTCGTCCCGTTCCAGCTTGTCCCTCCTCTACGGCTACGGCTGTCAGCCAACTGACAGCTCTGCCTACTAGCCTTCAGTTTTTCACCGAAACTCTAAATCCGGACCAATATTCCCAAATCTATTCCTCCTCGTTCCAATATCTAATTTAGATTTTCCTGGCACGTGTGCATCCATCACACACTTGTTATATTTTCATAATAAAACAGAGAACAATGCATGGTGATGAGAAGGCAAACATTTAGGGAAAAGGCTAATGCAAACCAATCTCGTTACTATATAATTGCAAAATAGGGAGCGAGATATTTTGAACTGGGTTTGTGGGAGTTTTAATAAAACAGTACACAATTGTTTTCCCTCGTCTGCACTTAAACCTGTTCCAAAGGTGCACAAAAAAGCCTGCTTGCCAATCCCTTGATTTATTATAGCTAGTGAGAGCTGATTACAGGGTATGAATCAGTTGCTGTAGGAATGTAATTAGGCACGAAGACCTCTGTAAGGGCTGGAGCTCTCTTCACAGCCCAAAGCAGTTTGTGGGCTGACAAATGCATCTTAAATGGGTGTCATAAAAGTCAAAAAGGTGCCAATTACATCTTTAAGTATCGCATCAATGAAAATGAAATAAACATCAGAAAAATGATGTGCTGGTATCGCGGTGCAACGGGGAACCCGGACAGCTCGGTCGGTCATAAGGGTTAAAAAAATGAGGAAAATGTTAAAAAGATGGGATAAATCATAACGTGTGGGAGGGAAGGTGGTGTGTTGCTGGCTGAGGGGATCATAACTGGCACACAAGCTCGTTATTCAAAACAGCAAACAGGAAAATCGAAAGGAAAATGGTCACTTTTATTCCAAAAATAGAAGTTTGAGTTCAAAGGAGGAAAAACATGAAAAGGTGAGAATTTGGCAGTCAGATCCATTCAGAATGTTTCTGCGTGTGTGTCTTTTTCTGTTTCTGCACACATCTAACAAAAAAGCTACAAACATGCAGTGTTGCACCAAGCATGAGAAAGAGATCCTGGGTGTCTCAGCTTCCAGCCACCCCTGAGCCGTAACGCCGGGACTCTGGTATCCAGGGTTACTGCTATGAATTTTCCATTGTTATCGGCCGACTGCCCTGATGTGGCGAAGCTGGATGAAAGGCACGCATGGCAATAGATGTAACTCTTTGTTGCCTTGCAAGGTGTCTAGCAGAGAGCTATAATGTCCCGGTAATCGAAGCAGAATTGTTGAAAAGGACAGACACAAAAAAGCTGAAAATTCAGTGACAAGCATGAAAAGCGCTCATGCAAAGAGAAACACAAGACACCCCGGGGTCTCTGCAGGCCAAACAGCAGCCCTTCTGGTACCGGTGCTCCATTTCAGCTCTGCCGGGTTTATGTGATCATTTACTAATTTGGTTCACTAATTAATTCCAGCCAGTGCATTCATTTGTTTTCTTTTTCTGTTATTTTTTTAAAAATAAAAACCCTGAATTTAAATTATTTTAAATATTATCTGTGCTACTTAAATTTTTATGGAAAAGAAAAAAATTATTACAAAATACAAAAATACAATTACTGTTTAAAAAATGTATATAATTTCATAAGTGTACTATAAATAATAATGTGCTATAAATAATTTTTATTTTAGGTTTAAATTTATGAAGAAAGAAAAACATCTGCACTAAGTCACAAATATGTGCAAAACCCATCAGATTTAAACAATTTTATAAAATCCTAAATGCTTTTAAATAACAAATTAATTAAATTATTTTTATTTTAATATTATAAGTGCTGACGCAATTCGCACGTGTGCAACGCTGAAAAAAACTATTAAAATAAAGTTCTCCATGAGTCATATTCTATCAATATTAAACTAAACTAAATTGCTCTAAATAAATGTTCATTTCTTAATCGTTTTCAGTAGCCCGATAAAAAACTGAATTCCAACATGTTCTAACTAAAATAGAAAACTAATTGTGAGATTTGAGGAACATCAGCGAGAATGGGAGCGAACAAGTGATTGCAAATTAATCTGAAGTGTACTGCAGGTTTGGAGATTCAAATTAAAATGTTTTCCACGCTTAGAAGGGTTGTGAAGGGCTGCTGGAAACGCCACCTGATTCAAGCGGAGAATAAAGGACAGGGAGCGGAATAAAAACGACAAAGCACGCCTACACGGTTCTCGGGCCTGAGGCTGCTGCTGCAGAGGCAGGACTGGAAACACCGTGGGCCACCGGGCAAAAATCCAATTATTAACGGTCCGATTTTACTTGTGGTGTATTTAAATTAATTTAAAAATAATGGCAACAACAGGTTTCCTTTTTGAGCCCATCATTCGTCTGATCAGCAAATCCTCACAGTGAGCTTTTAATCACTGCAACAAAACAACATAGGAAGATGCAAAACCAGTGCAAGTGTCTCCAGCTGGACGGTGCTTACTGTTGGTAGTCGTGCTTGCAGTAAAGTTTCCTTTCTCTGAAGTAACAGCTGGTGATGAGAGGCTGCTGACACACGGTGCACTGCAAACACTCCTCATGCCACGAAGAGTCGTTGACTCTCATAAGGAAGCGGTCGGAGATGGGACGCTGGCATCCTTCACACACGGACCTGTGGTGGCACTCGGAGCCTGCAGAGAGAGAAGGCGGGCTGGGTAAGATCTGCACAAACAGGATCCACTGGAATTTGTTTATTATACAGGAAACACTATAAAATGTTTATCCAATCCTTTCTAAGGCCTTGCCTGCAACACCCACCCCTTGCCAGGAATATCAAAATGAGCATTATTTGCCACCTTTATTTCCTGCATTTGCTTGACGCTTTTTTGCATTATCAGGTTGAAAAATCAGGAAATAAAAACCAAATATAAGGCATGTATGCAAAATTCTGCGCAGGAAGAGGCGCTTCAAATAGGTTTCCAGAAGCTTCACGTCTAGATGTAAATTTACAGATAATAAATACATAAAACACAGTAAAGTGACGGACTGACCAAGCAGGACTCCCAGCGTGGCTTGTCCCGATCGCAGCGGATGATCTTCTATTTTTATGCCGTCCAGCATGATGCGCGTCTCGGACTGTCCCCCAGCGGAAAGGCGCTCCACCGACACCAGACCTGTTGCGATATCCATAAGAACACGGGTCAGACTGGACCAGAAAACCCGGCCTCTCCCAAGCTGTCTGGACGTGAAGCGCGGAGACCTGTTGATAAGGCTTCAGCTCCGCTTTGCAGCCCGGAGGATCAGAAAGGAGGAAATAAACTATAAAGTACAGAAACAGTGGATTTAGAAAGATCAGCAGCCGGAGAGAACTCCGGATGTTTTCGAGAGAAACAGACAGAAACAGAAAAGTCTCAGAACAGTCACCTGTTAGGATCAGAGGACCGAGGAGCTTTATCTTCTCCTCCCCGATGCCGATGGGAGAGAGGGCTGCACAAACACCGAGTGACAGCCTCACGAAGGGCGAGGAGGAACAGAAAATCAGGGAAAAGGAGGAGAAGAAGGGGTAAAAGTTGACAACAAATCCAAAGATAGGAGTATATGCAGATGTCCCGGCTGTAACTCTTAGGAAGTAACAGAGACGGTTGGCTGGTTGTGCCCCTGACGCTGCAAAAGTCTGAGATCAAGATTGAAGCGAGTGGATCCTCCCACTCCTGCATGCATGGCTACACTTTTTTTCATTCCCTCCATTGACTGCTGTTGGGATTCTATTGGAGCAGAGCAGTGTGCTGCCCAGAGTCCAACAAGACAACGAGACGTGTTTTCTTTTACCTGATTAATAACAACAACAACAATGATAATAATAATAATAATAATAATAATAATAATAATAATAATAGTTATTATTATTATTATTATTATTATTATTATTATTATTGCTGTTGTTGTTATTATTATCATTATTATTTACACAATTTCAAATCTATTTACATAACAATAAATTATTTATGAAAAAAATATGCCTATGACCAATGTATTTGACTCATTGCTTGTGTGTGTGTGTGTGTGTGTGTGTGTGTGTGTGTGTGTGTGTGTGTGTGTGTGTGTGTGTGTGTGTGTGTGTGTGTGTGTGTGTGTGTGTTACTTGGAGCATCACAAGGTCTTTTGTGGATTGTCTCCATAGTGAAAGCTGCTGTCCCCTTTCAGTTGATGCACCTGGTGATCAGCGTTGATAACAGCACTGAGCACAGGCACGGTCTCCACCAGACAGGCTGTCTATCTTCCAATAGGATACGTAATAGTAGTAGTAGTAGTAATAATAATAACAATAATAACAATATGGTATTTAATCATGCAAAGTGTAGTCTCAAAATAATTAGTCTATAACTCAAAAACGGCGTTAATACATCAATAAATATCACTAATGCGAACAAGTAAGTGTTGTGTTTGTGTGTCTTAATGGTAACACTAAGTTACCACTTTGGACAAAAGCACCATTCCACACCTTCACCTAACCCTTAATAATAATAATAATAATAATAATAATAATAATAATAATAATAATAATAATAATTATTATTATTATTATTATTATTATTATTATTATTATTATTATTATTATTATAGAGCTGAATACTAAACTAAACTAAATATACAAACACAGACATGTGGGTCTTTTATGGAGTGGATGGCTGTTCAAAAGCTACCACATTAACCCCTTCATTATATACGGAGTCTCCCTCAATATCAACAAAAATATTCAGATACAATAATGTATTATTATTATTATTATTATTATTATGGTTGTTGTTGTTGTTGTTGTTGTTGTCAAATAAAATTTTCAAAGTCAAGACACGTGCCTGAATGGAAAATAATGTTTAAAGTTCAAATTAAGGTCAACATTTTAAGATAAACAAAACTACTGAGGGGAAAAAAACATCCTGAGTGCAGGAATTACAGCCAATTTATGTAACAGGATAAAAATGTTCACCCAAAATATTGTTTTATTAAACTAAAAATATTTGTTTGAGATTTGGTTTCTAATAGGTTATCTCTCCAGACAATCAGTGACGTGATTAGAGACGTCTGTGCCGCTTACTGATGGGAATGCACTGCTTCCGGTGGCAGCATTTCATCTAAGAACTGATGAGGAACAAAAAGGTCTGTAGTTACCTGAAAGTGTGTAGAGATAAGTCATTTCTAGACCAATACGTTTTTATTATAATTAATAATAATAATAATACAGTAAAGCTTTAAATTATTTACCTGGCTTAACAATAAGCTAGCTATAGTGTAGAAGAAGAAGAAGAAGAAGAAGAAGAAGAAGAAGAAGAAGAAGAAGAAGAAGAAGAAGAAGTTTCTAAGCTGGCTAACAACAAACCGTTAGGCCAAAAGGCCTCCTCTCACGTCCTTCGGATGGTCGAACCGAGCCGCTGACCTGCAGTTTATTGTGAACGCTAGGGAGGACGCTGGTTACGTCGCCCTCTGCTGTTGTAATAGGGAACTGTTTCATTATGATGAACGACAATTTCAGCGTTTAGTCAGAAATAGGCACCAACGAAATTAAGTAGCATGCATAAAAACTCTAAAAATATTACATTTATTCGTTTTATGATACTATTCTGGTCAAAATGACCGCTCATAAACACGTTCTTCCCCAGTTCTGCTCTACCTCTGTTTACAGCTCCTCTATTAGGGTCATTTGCCTCACGCTATTTGATTATTCTACCACTGAGCAGCTCGAGCAGCACTGTGAGCTGAATACTGTCAATGGTACCATAATCAATAGACTTGGAGTAACATCTGCCCCCCATTCAACAGCTCTGGTCGGGTCACCCCGGTGAATGAGGACATCAAACATTGATTCAATAAATCAATCCGCCAACTTTGAGCCCGCGGTGTTTTAATGAGCCTCTACATGACAAGCCCTCCCTCACTTTTCACGGGACGGAAAAAATATTAAAGCCGAACAGCAGCCGGTGTGCAGAACAGAAAGCTTTAATTTGCTTTTAAGTAACCAGAACTGTTGCATCCATCGGAAAGGTAAGAAACCATTAGAAAAAAACTAGAGCGACTTAAACTCTGCTGCTGTAATTTATCTTAATAGACCAGAACCTAACATTAAGGCTACGTTATTAAAACAAACAAACAAACAAACAAATAAACAAACAAAAAATAATTAAAATTATAAAAACAATTTCTAAATTAAATGTAAAAGTCTTTGTAACTTTATGTTGAAAGGCAGATTCGTTTCTTTCTTTATTTATTTATTTTTTTTAAAATTGGCTCAAAGTTTGAAGGAAAGGAAACAGGCAAGAATACACTATCAAGATAAATCATAGATCAATTTAGAAAGTTTATCAAACACATAAACAATAACAGTTTTGCATTTAGGAGATTATTTTGTTTATATTAATAATCATATTCAACGAACTTAGGTTAATGTTTGTGGAGAAACGCGATTTCTTTTGGTGCTTTTCTTAAAAAATAAAATAAATAAACAAGTAATTACTCAAAGAGAATGAGAGGAAAGAATGAAACTCCAACAGACCAGATCAACAAATAAATAAATAAACAACTGAGGTTTAACTCTGGAAAATAAACAGAAACTATTTGGAAATTTGCTCAGAAACAAAATACATTTAATCAGATCCACGGAATGAAACCACCATTACGCAATAAATAAATAAAATTATTTAATGGTTAAACTGAAAGAGGGATACTTTAGTGACTCGTGTGCAAAAGATAAAAATACATATAGGCTATGAAAAGAAAAAGAAAAACGGAGGAATGGGATTTCAAAATAAAGCACCGTGGTGAAAACCCAGTCCAGCGAGCTGTGATTCTTTAAAACGTTTTAAAATGCTTCAAAATACTTTTTTAAACAACTCCTGATTTGCTTTTTGAATATCTCAAAATGAAAAATAGACACACCACGCGCTTTCTTTTGCATGAGTTATCTTCTTGCACATACTTTCCTTTCAGCCTGCATGCGCACGTTTTTTTAGGGACGCATGTCTGAATCCCTCCCGGCTGGGGGCTGTTGCGGGGGCAGACCGGAATCGCTGACCACCGTGGATCAACCATCAGGCTAATTGGAGACTTGAAACGCGGCGATTTGCGGCCAATCAGCTGTAATTTAATCTGGTTTTGCTGGGTCATGCGGGCTTGCAGTGAAAGAAAGTAACGCGGTGACATTGTACGCATGCCGAGCTGCTAATATAGCAAACGGGTCTCCTCGGGCCATATGGGCCCCTCTGCTGCATTATTCATCACTTTATTGATTCTAATATCTTAGAAATTAGATGCTTTAATTTTTTTAATGCTGATGCGTGTTTTCTTTTTTCATCTTTGCGTCATTTCAGCTCACAAAAGTGCAAAGAAGCAGAATTAGGAGTGAAGTTATTTGGAGCCTCTGCGCAGCTCCTCTTATCTCACTGAGGCAGCCAAAAAAATGATAGTGCAGGATAATCCCTGCTCCCAGAGGATTAGGCCCAGGTATAGAACAGCACTGTCAACCCCTGGCGAGATTTGTTTACGTTATGATTTATTGAATTCAGATTTTTTTCTCCCTTCCTTTCCCTTCCTCTGACAAATTTATTGAGTTCTTGACAAATGTCCCGACAGGCCCCTGTGTGACGTACAAGCCTGAGAATCTGTTTACCTCGACATGTTTCTCCAGACAAACAGAGCTGGGATTACATTACTGCTCACAATTATATTTAAAATAAGCATTATTTTATATAATTTAAACTGTGAATTTCTAGTTTTCTGCGATTTTCATTAAAAGTCGATTTAGAAGCAGGATTCAATCAAAATATTATTTGTAGCCTATTGTTGTTGTTTCCTAATAATTAAATCACCAACTTCTTCTGCAGTCGTAAATAAAACTATTCATTTGTGTGTAAAATGAATAATCATTGAATGCACGTATTTGTGCTAATCCAATCACTATGTAAAGTGAATAATATCATTTATTTTAACGCTGATTAGGTTGAATAACTCATTTGGAGCCCGGTTTTCTGAAAAACGAGTAAATCAACTTTTAGAAGTTTTCACATTAGCTGATCGAATAACGGCACTGCCCCCTGCCGGAAAAAATACGCCAATACAATTTATTTTGTTGCTTTACAAAAAAAATGTTTACAAAAGGAAACGTTTTCTCACAAGTTCGTAGAGTTATTTACTTTATTGAAAGTAGTAATGTAGCAGAATCATGTAAAGAAAAAATGTATTTGAACTATAATTAAAATAAGTTTAAGATAAACAATTCTGAAGCATAAATAAGTAATACTTTCTCGAATAAACACATAAGATCTTTTTGTGATTTTAAGAGTAACATTTTTGTATTTGAGTCTAATAAATAATACCTCTTTTTATGTATAACATTTGCAGTTTCTAAAGTGTCTAAACATGTAATTTATTAATTTTATGTGTCACTTTATTTTTTTTTCTTCTTTTACTTAATGTTTTTTGTTCTGGTAATTATTTTTCTTTATTATCTGTTGCATTTTATCATGAAATACGTTTCCAGCAAAAAGCATTCAGAGTTTGTTTTGTCATTCGGTGTGAACAAAAATCCTTTTACAAACAGTTATCATAAAAGACACACGTGATATCTTTATTTTTTATCCAACAATGGAATTATTTATTTTACTGAACAAACATGAATTATTGCACACTGTAAAAACAAT